CGCAAAAATGTGTAGTGCATTGTAACGGAATTCTTTTTGTATTTTTATAGAATCTTCTAAAATGGCTGCTTGCGTAGCTGTTATTGGCAAAGATGCAAGTATAAATATTTTGTTTGATAGGTTATGATGTATCGACAAAAATTTTCCAATAAATATAATAAAGTACATTTACTTTAGCGAGTTTCTTTACGCGTTGTAAACATTGAATTATTCTAAATAATAATAAATTTTTTGTAGAATTCTCCAAAATTTATCAAAATATATCAATGTACAGATGAAGCTGCTGGATTGCAATTTCATTACAAAGTACATACGTCAATTGATATTGTAGAGGAAAAGCTGAACATAGGGAATAAAACGACAGTTGATATACGTGATTTATACTTAGGCTTGTTATTTGCGACCGAAGAATACAAAATGTATGTAACATTATTCTCTTATAACATCACTCTATAATCTACCTACAAATTAGACATTAAATATGTTTTAATATTCTTATTTTCAGATATGGTTATGCTACAAACACAAAGATTAAATTTGTCATAGTATTGCAATCATCTAATGTATCATTAAGGGATAACGAAATAAAAATGGTAACATTCTTTTTATGCCTCATATATAAACTTAATATTTTATTAATTATGATTTGCAATTAATATGTAAATGTTTGATAACCTGTTAATAGATTTTTAAGAAGTTACATGCTGCATACTCCAATGCTGTTTGCAATCCATTTTACATTCCAGGTGATGAAATAAAATCCAAGTATGTGTGAATTAATCTGTATATATGTTTTTGTTATAGATAATATATAAAAATATTTTATTATTTATACTGGATTTTTAGGTCATTTGATACATCAGTGCTGGAAATAATGGGTGTTATATAATTTACAAAGATATTAAAAAATAATTAAAGAAATATTTCTCACACATCGTTCCAAAATGTATTATTCACATCATATAAACGCTTTATGTAACTGATAATAAATTATATATAATAACTTATATGTTTGTAAAGCTGTATAATCAACTTTTTTAATTATCTTTTTTTATTTTATTTATATACTTTCTGTATTTTAATTTATATATTATATATCATTTTTTTTACGTAATTATATATTTAATATTTTTTTTATTATTGCTAAAAAATAATGTGGCAAATCAATTGACTGATCGCATATAAACCGAACCTAAAAGGAATTAAATTCAGAATATAACTCGCTATAAAACGAATATCGCAAATACATATCCTACATATTCAAAATTCTTTTTGATTGGTTTAATCGCGCATGTGTTTCTCAATCGGATTTATAATTCGATTTTGTACTTCCTGATGTCCAAAAGCAGCGAATCACAAATAGATGGAAAAACAAATCGCTTCATAGAAACGGTTCACGCAGCATGGCGGTAGCTCTCTAAATGCCTGAATCGCAAACGTCTCCCATAAGTCCTGTTTAGACTGTCATCGAGGATTTTCGATTTGTGTGATTTTTTGGAGAAAAGTATCTGCGTACATCAATTGATTTACCATGGTAATTATTGCGCTCCAGTAATCTCGTCTATGTAGTAAATGCTAGTGATTCTCCTGTGATCGTCAGAACTCGGTCTTCAGAAAGCAAATGGCTCACGTGTCGTTGAAGGAATAAATAATAATTGTATGATAAATGACTTTGATGCATTTTGTAGACACTAAGATTTTCAATTGACTTTTAAACTGATTGAATCTCTGACGCGCACATGTACCCATAAATATTAATAGTTGTTACCTTAAAAGCAGTTATGATTATATTTTAAATGAAAAATTCTATCGTAAGCAACTAAATAAATTCTTTTATCTTATTTGATTGTAAGGTCTCCTTAAATCCAGTGCGGATCCTCAAAAATGAAGCTGGAGAAGAGAAGGCAGAAATTGCTAGATTGAGCTCGTTTGTTGGAGTTATAGCTATTGGAGACCTGGTCAAATCTACTCTTGGTCCTAAAGGCATGGACAAGATACTTGTATCTCATGGTAGATCCTTGGGACAAGTACATGTTACTAATGATGGTGCTACTATCCTCAAAAGTATTGGCATTGATAATCCTGCTGCCAAGATTTTGGTAGATATGTCTCGTGTCCAAGATGATGAAGTGGGTGATGGTACCACTTCAGTCACTGTTCTTGGTAAATATGATATGATTAAGTTTTTAAGTTATTAAGTAAAAAGCCTATACTGATCAAAACTGAATTTTGAATGCTTTTAAATAATTTCATATAAATTTATATACCGCATTTGTAGTCTCTCAAATTACAAGCCAAATTGATTTTCTAGATGTAAAAACGTAACAATTGCCATAGTAATATCATAAATTGATTAGCAATTTAATAATTTTATGTTTAATTGGCATCATTTCAAGAAGTAATTAATATATTGAAAATCTGTAAATACATTTATTACAAAAAATATTACCTCAGTCAGTCGAACCCAGATTTCTAGCATTCCATGAGAGCATCCTAAACCTTTAGACCTAGTATACTTCACAGTAATCGATATATAGGAACATATACATCTTTTAGACAGCATGTATAAATGATAATAAATTGTTTATGATATGATTACTCACTTGAATTTTCAAATTATTTAATCTTAAATATTATTAAATATCTTTAATTTTCTTTTTTTTTACAGCTGCTGAACTTTTGCGAGAAGCTGAGAAGCTAATCGAGAATCAGAAGATTCATCCACAAACTATCATTAGTGGTTGGAGAAATGCTACAAATGTAGCGAATGAGGCTTTAAAAAATGCAGCCACAGACAATTCTGCAGATCCTGATCGATTTCGAGAGGATTTATTAAATATTGCTCGTACAACATTAAGTTCCAAGATTTTATCTCAGCACAAGGAGCACTTTAGCAAGCTTGCAGTTGATGCAGTATTGCGTCTTAAAGGATCTGGTAATTTGTCTGCGATTCAAGTTATAAAAAAACGTGGCGCAACACTTGCTGATTCCTTCTTAGATGAAGGATTTTTATTAGATAAAAAACCGGGTGTTCACCAACCACAAAAAGTTTCTGACGCACGTATACTTATCGCTAATACATCTATGGACACGGATAAAATCAAGGTTTATGTTCCTTCTATTATGTATATTTTTCTTAATTTTTTAACAAACCTAACAAACCTGTTATACGCATTTATTTATTTATAGGTATTTGGCTCTAGAGTACGTGTAGATTCAATGGCGAAGATAGCAGAATTAGAAGCTGCAGAAAAAGAAAAAATGAAGGTAATGGATATTTCTAAAAGTTCTTCACACATATTTATAAAATTTAATATAATATTTATATAATAATCTTCTGAATTTACACAGGATAAGATTGACAAAATTTTGAAGCATGGTTGCAACGTCTTTATCAATAGGCAATTGATATACAATTATCCGGAACAATTATTTGCTGATGCCGGAATTATGGCTATTGAGCATGCTGATTTTGATGGAATCGAAAGACTTTCGCTTGTTACTGGTGGTGAGATTGTTAGTACTTTTGACAATCCCGATTTAGTCAAATTGGGAAAATGCAATCTTATTGAACAGGTAAATTTATAATTTACGTTTGTAATTCATACATAATATTCCATATAGTGGAGCTCGATTCTGTGCGCGCGCGCGCGCGCGCGTGTGTGTGTGTGTGTGTGTGTGTGTGAGCGCGCGCGTGTAATTATTAGTTTTGTTGTAACTTTAATTATAATATATATCAATTATATTGCATTGTTATATTTTTCAGGTTATGATAGGAGAAGATACACTCTTAAGATTCTCTGGAGTTCCATTGGGTGAAGCGTGCACCGTTGTTATTCGTGGCGCAACGCAACAGATCATTGACGAAGCTGAGAGATCACTGCATGATGCGCTCTGTGTTTTAGCAGCTACGGTACGCGAGTCGAGAATAGTTTACGGTGGTGGATGCAGCGAGATGATTATGGCTTGCGCTGTTATGCGTGCGGCCGCGGCTACGCCGGGTAAAGAGGCTGTTGCGATGGAAGCCTTTGCACGAGCGTTGCAGCAATTGCCAACCATTATTGCCGACAATGCTGGCTATGATTCGGCACAATTGGTTAGTGAGTTGAGAGCCGCGCATAATTCTGGGGGCAATACCATGGGATTAGGTAAGTTTCAAATTTTTATATTCTTTTATCACTGAAAATATTTTTAAATATATAAATTGTGCGCTAAATGGTTTCATAATAATCAAGTTAAATTAAATTTGTTCTCCAATCTTACAGATATGGAAATGGGCAAAGTCGGATGTATGAAACGGCTAGGAATCACTGAATCTTGGGTAGTGAAGAGGCAAGTTCTCGTGAGTGCGGCTGAAGCAGCAGAAATGATACTTCGAGTGGACGATATTTTGCGCGCGGCTCCTAGAAAACGCGTACAAGACAGAGGACGTTGTTAATTCATTCATTAAGAAAAAAATAAATGTTTACTCTCGCTTTGATTTCATAATTGCCTGCAATTTTTCATGCATGTGGCCTCTTAAATTAATTAATGTGTTTAATTAAATATTGTGTTAATCTCATTGTCGATAACGCATTTGATAATATTAATGTACTAATGATAGTAAGGAGATATATTCCACTTTTTGAATATTTTGTCATTTATATATGAATTATATTCCAATTTTCTCGATCTTTCACAAATAAAATATTATACAATAAGAAGCACATCTATATATGTTCAAAATTTTTTATAACATTACAATAGATTCAATATTAATAAATGCTTTGAGATGCAATACTTTACATGAATATTTATTATACTAGCAATATACTTTATTAATTTGTCCACAATTGTACACAAGTCATTTTTATAATAATAAACATATAGATATAAGATTTAATAAAGTATATTTTAGTGATAAGGTAAATATTCATTTCACATGTATTTGATTTGTGACTATTTTTCTTAAATTAAGCTCTATAAATTTTATTTATTCGGCAATCACAGCCTGTTCCAATAACAAAAAAAAAAGCAAAAAAGAATAAGACTGGCATGCCTTTTAAATATGTTTTATAGATTGATATTCTTATACTACATGGAAAGTGATCACACTATGCTGCTAGTATGGTTACTAGTACAGCTACTAGTGCATGCATTTCATTGATTATTATAAGTTTTACGACTATATGCTTATATAATAGTCATCAATACTCTATTGGAAGTGTCTTTATGAATAAGTTTCAATCTTCCAATACGAATCTCTCTGATTGAAGTATAACCACATTATTTGAAATTCTTCATTAAAGCGGATTATACATTCAATTAACAAAAAAACAGATCTTTAACTTGACTTGAAGAATACTAAAAAAAAAAATCTATAAATTTCCATCAGATAATGCAAACTATACAATTTTAATGATCAATCGATTAATATGCGAACCGTAATTTAGTATCGTAGCCAAGTTTATCAAGGTTCGGAGTACAAGCGAAATTGATCATTGGAGGTGGCCCGCACATAAGTACGATAGTGTCAGGTGACGGTGGAAACATATGCTTTTCTATCATATCAGTGCTTATATATCCTGTACTGTAAGGCCATTTATCGTTACTTGAATCTAATGTATACCAAAGTTTCAATTTATTCGGGTACTTCTTGGCAATTTCATCTAATTCGTTTCGTAACAAGATATCTTTTTCTGTTTGATTGGCGAACAGCAAAGAAGTTTGAGTTTCGTCCATAGGATCTTTTATTATTGCACGAATTAGTTGCAGCATTGGCGTAATGCCCGTACCACCAGCGAGCATAACTATCTGTACAAATTTACATAAATTTATTATTAACATATATGTACAGAAGAGCTCCTACTGAAAAAAAATACGTCATACAGTTGCAAGATGAAATCATGTAATTAAAACATATAAACCACGTAATGTATTGTTCCAAATCAGTATGTAATTTTTTAAAATTAATTTGAAAAATCATATGATACTATGTTCTTTTTTCTTCTATTTCTATTATTCAATTCTTAAAAATTCGATAACTATAAACTAACATCACATGATAGATGAAATTATTTTTAATATCATGTAATTTTTTAAAAAAATTACGTACTGATTTAGAACAATCCATTATGTGACTTACATGTTTTAATTACATGATTTCATCATGTAACATTGTGATGATTTTTTCAGTAGGGGCTGTTCTTAATAATGATTAATATTAACAAAATAAAATTATATTCTATATTATATATATGTATACACAGAGCAGTATGTACTTGCCTTTTTAACATTATATTCTACAGCTGGTTCCTTCCTAAGAAGCTTTATAGTGACCTTTCCTTGTCCTTTGTAAACCAGTCTACCAGATGGACCTCTAAAATCAATGGTATCCCCTATGTTCATATTTTCCAAATATTGAGACATTTTTCCTCCTTCAGGGAATTTTGGATGCACATTTTTGAAGTATACCTATAAATCACAATATTAAAACAGATTTTCTTTTTTATTCCATATTATTTATCAATTCTGTATTCTCATTTTATACCTTGATAACCAGATCAACGTAGCCCCGATTATCATTACTTGATACAGGTGTATATGAACGTATTACAACCTCTTCTCCAATTTTTGCTGTTAAATGTACATGTTGACCAATTGGCAGACCCAGGACATGATTTGGTGTAGGTAATCCAAATCTAAATTTCCTTGTATCGTGACTTATTATGTCTTTTTGAATTAGAGGTAGACTATACTTAACTACTGGATCAACCAATAGTATTTGTGCAGATTTTTTCTTCTTTTCATTCCAGGATTTATATATTTTAAATGCTACTCCTATAACAACTATTGTTCCTACCGCAGCCAAAACTGGTAACACCTAGAAATATAAAATTTTATTTTAACATAATGTTATATGTGTTAATGTTATAACACATATAACATTATTCTTTTAATTTTGAAATTTTATCTTTTTCTTTTTAATACATGAATTTTATTTTCACACTTAAAAAGTGTTACAGATACAGATTCTATTAAATTTCTAAGATTTTTGTAAATAAAGTTTTCAAGAATATACAAGTAAATAATGTCGTATATAAAAATTAATATTTGCACAATTTTTTATAAAATAATCCATGCATAATTAATTAATAAGATGCTTTAGGAAGAATATCTCTAAAATCAAAATTTTCTGACTAAATCATCGTTTAAAAAAAACATCACGCCTATGTACAAAGTACAAATTGTAGCTGGTGATAATCGCGTAACAATATGATTTGCATGATAGTATGCGAGATCGGATCGGTCGAAACGGGCCTTACCAATGTTCGAACATTCGACATTGCGAATTAAAGATGCACGTGGACCGAGAGGTTAAAGGACAGCGCGGAGAAAATTGTACTATGGACTCTACGGAGACGCGAGCTCATGTGATCGAGATCGCAGATCGACTTTCGCCAAAGCAACGATTCGCCGCCGGCGTCTGTACCGTCTACCGTTTGTAGAGTCAACGGGACGAGTACCGTCGATTCCGGAACTCGCTCCAATCCGTTAAAATAGACTCGGCTTCTTACGTTTTCGGAATAGAAACATTAGACACGAATATTTATAGCCGCATTACTCGCAGCAACATATTATTACGCTGAAAACACGTGCCTTTTTGTCATCGGCTGATCGACGCAAGAGATTGCCTCGGGCCCCGAGTCTTATTACATACCTATTATGCATATCTCGATGCATTATCACTACTTTCGTATCGCAATCAGCGAGGAATGCGAACGAATTATACATTTAACACTATTTTTTTGCTTACATGTTCTATGTTTTTCTTTTTCTTTTTTTTTAAATACTTAATTATCTTAGTTCATACCGGGTTATATCTGATATTAGATATTGATTTATTTAGAGCAACTTTTGAATTAAATTCCGATTAATCTATTGGAATTTCTTGCAACATTTCTAATTATATTATAAATTCATTTATCTCTAATCTGATTATTCTTTCTTTGTATTAAGCAATAAATTGATAAGTCTATCCGCGTTTATAAAATACCATAAATGCTGTTTTAATAAACTAATTATCGATAAATTAACAAGCATTTTTAATTGCATTTTGTCTTTTTTCCTTTCTTTGATTTCCAAGAAATTTATTTGCATTAAAAATAATTGAAAATTTATTTTGTTTTAAATGTTAAATAAATTATTATATATTACAGTTTATCCATGTAAAATGATATAATTCTCACTAAATGATTATTATATATTATTATATATTAAGTACAAACATCGGATGGTTAACATAAATAATCTATCGATTCTACATTTAATTCTTTTCTTATCTTTGGCTTATATAAAAACTGCCGCGCAGTAAGTATTGCTGTATTTTAATTGTGTGTAAGAGTTATATATAGCTTTTTCTTTCATTACACTTATATCGTGATAATTTTTAAAACGCAATTGGATGCTTTATGTAACATCGTGCAAAGCATATTCCGACGTAATGATTTATCTCCATCAATCTAAAATATATATTATATTATACATACTTGAGAATCAATTATTGCGTTCATATTTTCTATTCCAGTTTCATTGAAAGACGCACACACACACACACACACACACACACACACACACACACATAAAATTTCTATGGGTTGCTCGACGCACGTTATATATTGTTGAATTAATCAAATAGATTTATTTGTGATGAGAGACGTATAAGGAGTGAGAGACTTGCGTTCTCTTGAGTTACGTCAAGAAACGTATTACATCGTTATCATTGGCAGTGATGTAATCGCAACATCTTCTATCCACTTTCCCAGAAGAGAGAGACAAAGTGTTTCAAAACCAATTTAAACAACGTCGATTTCGGTTACTTTATTTTCTATAGCATACATTTTGATAATATTTAAAATATTAATTATTTTAAAACAATATGATAAACATGCTAAAAAATTATACTCAATGTGTAATATAAATAAATTTCTAATTATTCCTCTTTCTTTTTTTCTTCTTGTATTTTATCTCCTTTTCTTTATTCCTCTTTTCTTTTTTTATATTAAATGTTTTTATTTTTATCTCTTGTTTCTATAATTTTTTTTCTTCTACATATTCTGAAAATCTCTTTGGCTACAAAGCATGTGGTATTGTGTTTGAGATACGCGACTGTCATTTAATGATCTCATAGTGACGTTTTTTCATATGAATGATTCTATTGGTCATTGATATAATAACGGTAACATTACAACTAACTTTTCTTGGACAGTTCAAGGATATATATCAGATTTTGTAATCGAAATTCCTACGTTTTAAACTTAATATCCTGATCTTTTTTTTCTAAATTATCTGTGACCCAACAGAACTGAATTTTTCGACATTGCATTCTTATTGCATTACATTCTTCTTGCATTTAGATCATGTATTCAGGGGTATTTACCATGTATGACGATAATAAATGTAAAGTGAGAAAATTTAAAAGAAATGTAGCATATATAGTATATTTATTGTACTTGTTAAAAGAGAAATAATATATAAATATTAGCATAGAGTTCCGAAAGGGAGAACCTCTCCCTGATTTTCTTGTTGCTTGATATACTACTATATTTTGAGATAATTACGAATATGATAATGAAAATTGACAACAAGATCATTTTCAATATCAAATACTTGAAAAACGATTTTTTTCACATTACTCACGCGTTTCACGTGCACTTCTAAGTAAGGGAGGAGAGGTGGAGTGGAAGTCCACCTCCTTCGCGTGAAAGTTGTACGCCCCTAAGCAGAGGAGAGATGAGAGTAGTAATAATTATAATTTACAAATTAAAGTTAAATTGTTTTCCTATTCTGGAAACATAATTTAAGTTCATGTTTCTACTCTAAATTTTCTTTTTAATATACAAGACATAGTTATATATCTTTTGGCGACAAGATTTACGCATTTCGCGTAGAAAATCAAAAAAATATTAAAAAATCGTTTTTTAAGTATTTGACCTTGAAAATGATCTTATCGCCAATTTTCATTATCATATTTGTAATAATACAGTCAAATAACAAGAAAATCGGAGGTTTTGAAACTTCATCTAAATATTTTAATATTGATAAATTACCAAATTTTATTGAGTAAGGAAAAGATATATAACTGCGTCTTGTAGATTGAAAAAAGAATTCAGAGGAGAGACATGAACTTAAGTTTTGTTTTCAGAATAGGAAAGAAATTTGACTTTAATTTGTAAATAATATTATATTATTTACAACTTGACATGGCAATGTATTTTCTTAGGATATCCTAATTTGATCAAATTGATCCTATTCTGATCCAGACATTAAAATCGTCCTTATGATTTTTATCTCAGGACATTTGTAATTATCATTGGCTTACTTTCGAGTTTAAACCGGATCAGAATGTAAAGAACCAACTGCAATCGAATATTTCCCTGTTACAGTCAAATTCGATGGAAACTAGGCCATTGTACTAATATAAATTGGCGCGACAGCTAATCAACATTTCGCTTGATTGGAAGTAAGGCTAAAGTCTCATGAGGTGTATTTATCGCGTATTGCGTACTGCGTAACCAATCAAAAGTAATCCGCTGTTGTGATTTGTCACGTCCGCAGTATCTTTTAAATCTTATCCAAATCACCTTTGGACAAATCGCAAACATTTTTTCACTTATAGATCGGCGCGATACATACAAGACCGCCAGAACCTGACGTCTTCCCCATCACATGCGCCCTGACAGGGCGATAACGGATTCTTTGTCGAAAACGCTCTCGGGGCAATAGAGGTAGAAAAGTAGTTAGTAATGAAAGCAACGTCTTAGAGTCTGGGCCGAGAGTGCCCTCGAGCGAAAATTTTTCAAGTCCTCTTCCCTCGGCGAATCGTCTCTCTAGTTTTGCGCGCCGCGTATGAAACAGTCAAATTAGTCGTAACTTACGGATCTGTTTCAATCTCTTTTTTAATCAAATCTAATTCAAATCTTAAATCTAAGTAATTCTAAATCTAAGTAATTTTAAATCTAAATAATTCTGAACCTAATAATAATCTTAATTTCTATTTTTAACATAAATGTTACTCTAAATTTAACCTAAAAGTGTAATCTCTATTTTGGTGAATTATAATTAATAAATACTTATCAGCTGAATCTGAGTGAACTTTCTCAATAAAATTCCTTCTTAATTACTTTCTCACGTTCAATTCATACTAGTGATAACTTAATTAACGAACTTAGATTACTGTGCACATAAGAGCTATGAATTAACGAAGACGGATCCAACTTCTAGTCTTGGACAGTAGGAAGTTTGAGGGCCATGCCGACCAACCCGCGTGCCTCAACTACTGACGAAGACTTCATCATAAGGGTAAAATCTCATCACCTCATCACATTTCGGTCACCGCGGACCATGAATCCTGCTCGTGCGTAGCATGTGTCCGGTGCATCCGCGTTCGCGCCCTTCCGGCAATCATCCGTTAGAAACCAACTCTTACACAACGTGGATACGTAGCGCATGCTGTGTATCCTCATTATTCTTTCGTCATACAGAAAATAGCAAGACTAAATGTCCCAAGTGCTATACCTCTCTACCTCTCGACCTATCGAGAAGGAGAAATATCTCGGAGTATTGCGACATTACATCCATTTAGAGTTCCCCGGACGATTAGAGATCTGCAATGAATGTTCCGTGTCGCTGGCCACCGTACGTAATTTCATGAGCTGCCGCGATTGCCCCGAAATTTTGGTAGAATTTCTCGTTATTTAAATAGGACGAGAGATACATCTTGAACTTCCACGGAACCGACTCGTCGTTGTATCGAGCGCGCAACTCTAGCTAATTCAAATTTTTTAATTGGACAAATTTTACTTCTGTGTCGACGCGAAACCTTACATCTTACACTCACTGATCCCAGATTTATTCGGATTTCAGTTATTCGCCGACCGAACTCTGGGATATAACAAGTTTCGCGTTTTACTGATTGGTTACGCGATATGCGATAAATCTATCTTATGGGATTTTGTAACTCCTTTCGTTCCATTTTTGCTCTCAAAAGCAGTGAATATCTATCGTAGTATTAGTGCAGGACCTGAAGAGTCTGGCGTTCAGATTATTTCTAGATAAGGTGCTAAATATATGTATGTTAATTTGAAGAAAAGAATTGAAATTTCTTATCTGCGAGGAAGTGTAGCTTGATTTAAAGAACATAAAATTATTGGTGCGACAAGTTAAGGCGCGCGGCAAGCGTTGTTCTGTATGCAGAGTCATAAAGGTGCTTTTTCATGAGCGTTGATGCTCAAAAATCAGATAAAGATAAGATTAAATTATCATAAATGACGCCGATATTTTGAACCCAAATGAAAAAAGTTTCACGTATCATATTTTTGTAATTCGCATAAAGAAGTAGGTTATATTACAGTATTGATTTGTTGCAGCAATTTATTTTCAAAAAAATATGTTCATCATTAATAAAATATTACTAGTGGATGATAGAATGTGCAAACATTATAAAATTAAGAAATTCTATTTACAAAATTCTATTTAATTCAATATATAATTCTAACCTAAAAATCAAGAGTTTTATAAAATTAATACTTTTAACTGAATAAACTCTTACCACATTGTGGATAAAAATATCTTGAATTACTATTTACAAGAATATTTGGGTATCCACGCAATTATGATTAACTATCTCACCTTTATTCACAATATAATATATTCATAATATAGTTTCGCAAATTTCGCAAAATTCACAAATATTTACTAAAACCTGTTAAAATTAAATTTATTTCTTCAATACATTTATTGTATATTGAAAATGTATAAACTTTACTGTAATAACTTTACTGTAA